CTTCAGCCTGGGTGACAGAGTGAGACTCCAACTTAAAAAAAAAAAAAAAAATTCTACATGAGCAAGGACCTAGTCTGTCTGCACTTCTCTATGCTTAGTATGTCATGTTAAATTTTGTGAAAATACTTGCTGAATAATAAATATAGTGAGTTTTAAAAATCCCCAGGTTCATGTATCTCATTTGATCATTACAACTGAATAAAATGAGACTGCTAGACCCCTTGTACAGAGACTCAGAGAAGCTTCTCACCCAAGGCCATAGGGCTAGTAAAATGGTCGTGTTGGAATGACTGTGCAGGTGGACTGCTCTGTCCAATACATGGACTCTTGTTCTAGGGCCAAAGGCATTTGAAATTACTTTGCCCTTAAGGAAGCGATGATTTTGGAGGACAGTAGAAGCAACCTGTACATTTTTTTAAAAAGTAACCAGTTCCTGGGGTTGAACCTTACCACCACCTTCTCTACATCCACACCCCATACAGTCACACACACAGCAGAGATCATGGCCACAGTGATGGTACTCTGAGTGTAAAAAAGAAAACACAGCTACTCACCCGTCTGGAACACTGAATTCACCTGCCTGGGCTTCCCGTTTCACACACATGCCTCTCGCTTTTTTTTTTTTTAACAACTTTATTGAAGTACAATATTGTCTTGTTTTTAAAGCACACTCCTTTGAGATAATCTCATTCCCTAGAACAACTGTTTCACCTTCAGGATCTCCACCACTGGAGGCACCTGTAAAGATCTGTCTCCTCCTTTTCCCCCCTAGATCCTTCAGCCGAGCACGTGTGATCTGTGTGTACATCCCTGGCTCTGCCTCCCTTCCCAGCCCTGCCCACAGTAAGACCGGCCTCTTCTTTTTCCGGAGCCCCGCCCCTCGGCCGGTTTCCAACTCAGCCCCCACGGGTCTCGCCCTTCCCCCCTCCTCGACTTCTCGCGAGATGTTAGCGCGCCTGGTCGGACGGGAGGAAAGTATCTGCTCCGCCGAGGGGGGGAAAGAAGGAGCTGGAGACAGATTGTGGGACACAGCGCGGGCGGGCGGGAGGCGACGGAGCTACCAGCGGGTGAGTCCTGTTAATATTAGCTAGTTTGTGATCTGACGGGAGTCTCCTCTTCAACTCCGGCCAGTCTCACCGTCCCGGGCCGGGGTCTCCCCTCCCAGTCTGTGTTGGACGGGGGCGCTGAGGCGGTGGCCGGGCCCTGTCTGAGGAAGAGGGTGGGACATGGGCTACGGTCGACCAATGGGAGAGAAGGAAGCCTCGATTGGCGGCGTGAACGCTAATGGGAGATCAGTTTTTCCTTGCCGAGTGCCGCCCCTCTTCTCTCCCTACTCCCGCCTCCTTCCTTTGGGGGAAGGCGGGGCCAGAGGCCTGAAGTGTGGGGAGAACTTGGGGTAAGTAGCCCCGGGGGCCACAGGGCGTGGCAAGAAGAGGAGAACTGACTCCTGAGGGAAGGGTACTCTGTTAGAGCCTAATGGAAGGGTCATGGAATGGGAGAAAGAGGAGAGATACTAAACTCGTTTGAAGACCTGGGATTCCCAAAGTGTGGGTTTAGGGGCTTGGCACTGGAAAGGCAGGGGTAATAGGCAGGAGGTAGGGAGTAGTTGAGAACCAGGGTCTTGATCAGGTGACAGAACATGCCTTGGGTTTGACCGGAAAGATATATAGGGGTAGATCACTGGAAATGAGGCTTGTAGCATTTCGATTGAATAATAAAAAAAATATCAGGGTCACGATATCAGAGAGGAAATATGATTTGGAAAATGAAGTGAAGGAGTTTAGGAGGACAGCACTGCTGGACTCCGTCGCGAGAAGGCATGGCCTTGGGAAGGGCCTGAGAGTCGAGAGGGTTAAGGGAGGCATTCGGAAGGAACCGGCTGGTCCGTGCAGGTCTTTAGCCTAGGTATCCGAAGGAGGCTGGGATATTGATTTAGGGATTCTGTTGGATATGGCACCCCCACTAGTGACCAGCCTGCAAGAATGCTGGGGTGGGGGTAGACCGGGAGAAAAATAGATCATTTTCATCACTGCTCTGATTTCCTTTCTCCCTCTCCTCCCCTTCCCAAACACAGGGATATGAACTTGGGACTTCAGCAGTCCAAGTTGGAGCCCCATGGGGACCTATATGTTGTTCTGAATTGCTTGTTATGTTCTCTGACTGTCGTGTTTACTATCCAGGACACCTCCTACCCAGATTCCCGCGTTGCTACTTTCCTAACTTTAAAAGTTTGTTTTCTACTTAACAGAGGGTGTTTTAGTATCTCTGGGGGTCGTGTCATATTCAGTGTAGGATTGTGGGAGTGTGCAGTGTTCTCAGCAGCGTCACATGATTGCTGTGTTTAAAGTTTTTGCAGTAGTGTAATTCTTGTAGAGACATCAGTTTTTGTAGGCAGTCCAAGCACACATATATTAAAGTGAGGACAAGTCAAATGTGTCTTCCAGACTCAGTCAAGAAGAGTTTTTAAACGGGTAGCTGCAGTTAGTTTTAGTGAGCTTATATTATATATTTTTAAATGCTGTAGATAACATATTTCAGAAAAGTGAAAAAATTTCAGTTTATTCCTTTGTGTGCAGACTCAAAAACTAAAGATATGTTATAATATCTTAGGCCAAGGGTTGAAATCAAATACAGTTTGTGCTTAAACATGGAGGATGTAAGGTAAATGGAGGCTATTGCGAAATGTTGCATGTCTGAAAGCAAAGAAGCTGAAGAAAAGTTTGGCAGCTCTACTAAGTAGTCTTACCAGTTTGTTCTTAATTCTGTACAGAAAAGGGACAGGCCTTTGCCCTTTGTTTAATAGTTGTGTGTCATTTAATAATGAATTGTATAATAAAGTCAACTAAAAATTTCTTGACTATTATAAAGATTTTTCTTTTACATTCCTCCTCTTCTCCTTTACTTTTGAGAAGTGACACAATGTCTGAAATACTAGTAAAGCTATTCTATAAAGAGATACAAGAGTGTGTAGTTTTGTATTAACCTTTGGTTTTCAGCAGCCAGTTGAAGCTTTTCTTCCTGGTCAGGGAGCTACCCCTACAGCACATTGAGACTAATTCATTACTGACCTTTAGCATTAACAACGGAGCTGGGTTCTAGTATTTCACATTAAGAGCATTGCTATTGGACATTTAGAACGTTTTCAGCTTGCCTGGCATCAACACAAAAAAATACCCTTGTTTTGGTCTTTCTGTTTGGCTTTGACTCGGGCACTATTAAATGCAAGATTACTTTTTTCTCACTAGTGTTACCATCTAGCAGAAAGCTAGAGAGTGATAACACTGCTCATCTTTCAACTTGTGGATCAAAGTTTACACCTGTGGTAGTTTCAGTGTTGTAATTTTTAAACACCTTTGTTTACTGAGGCTTTAAAATGTCAATAGCTCCTTTTATTGTATCTTAGTCTCTTTCCTCACTTCCAGCTCCAAATGCAAATTGTTTTTTTCAACTTTCAGCTAGTACTTTACCTCGAATAAAGTCACTGGCTCTGCCTGAACACAGCTGCTCTGAAGTTCTCAGAAGTTACTGTTTTGTGCATGTCAAGACTGAGTTATTACTATGCTGTAGTGGGAGGGAGTCAGTGTTTCAGCAGCCTCCTATCCACGTATGATAAGGAGGAGCCTTCTCCTTGCAGGGAAGTTTTAGGTGGAGCAAATAGCACTCCATGCAGATGTCTAATAAAGACCGCTCTCTTCTTGAGACTAGTTGGCAGGCTGGCATATAATTGTCCCTTATCCCTTGATAAAGGTACTGAAGTTAAGGTGCAGATGTTGTTTCTTTGAGAAAAGCAAATGCAACATTCATGTAAAAAGAAAAAGCATTAATTTCTTTTATATTTGGTTTCTCTGAAAATGATATGGTTTTGGAGTTCATGAAAAAGTCTTCTCTCTCTCTCTCTCTCTTTTTTTTTTTTTTTTTTTTTGAGTTGGAGTCTCACTCCGTTGCCCAGGCTGGAGTGCAGTTGCACGCTGTCAGCCACTCCAGCGTCAACCTTCTGGGCTCCAGCGATCCTTCCACCTCAGCCTTCCGAGTAGCCAGAACTACAGACTTGCACCACCACACCCGGCTAATTTTTTGATTTATTGTAGAGATGAGGTCTCACCAAGTTGCCCGGGCTGGTCTCGAACCCGCAGGCTCAGGCAATCCACTCACCTCAGCCTCCCAAGGCACGGGATTACAGGCTGAGCCACCAAGTCCAGCTAGCCTTCTCTTTAAAAGTATGATGCCAGGCGCTGTGACTCACACCTATAATCCCAGTGCTTTGGGAGACCGAGGTGAAAGGATTGCCTGAGCCCATGGGTTCAAGACAAGCTCCGGCAACTTGGTGAACCTTCATCTCTACAATAAATAAAAAAATTAGCCAGGCGTGGTAACGTGTGCCTGTAGTTCCAGCTACTTGGAAGGCTGAGACAGAAGGATAACCTGAGCCCAGCAGGTTTGAGATTGTGGTGGCCGTGATCATGCCACTGCACTCTAGCCTGGGTGACAGAGTGAGACTCCAACTCAAAAAAAAAAAAAAAAAAAAAAAGTTAAAGGGAACAATTTTTAAGCTTCTTTGACATTTACTCATTTTTAAATGTTGGTTTCCCCTAAGAGGCTTTTTTGGGGGGGATCAGATATATTCATGATATGTGAAAACACAATTTGGTATTCCTAATGGTTGATCTTTTAACTTTTGAATACCTTAAGGAAGACGTTCCCACTTCACAGATACCCTGTTCCATTGCTGGAACTCTGTGTTTAGAGCATTCTTTCCATTGTACTGGAGCTTTAGTTCTGTCATCTGAAGCCACAATAAATAAACTTAATTCCTGTTACATGGTAGTCTTCAGATATTTGATGACACTTATGTATCATTAAGGTATCTCTTTCTGGGGTAAATATCCCAAGTTTTTTCAGCTGGTTTTTTTCTTTTTCTTTTTTTTTTTTTTTTTTTTT